AGGAGAGGAGGCAACCGCTGAAGCCATTTAAGGAGGGAATGTCTCGTTCTGCCTGGTAAAAGAACACAGCAGCAGGGCTGGGAGGGGCGCTGAAGCTGAACAGAGCAAAGGGCCTGGGGGAGGGGGGGCTCAGCCCCAGCAGCCTTGGGGAGATAGGGAAAGCAACAGATCCGAACCTCCTCAGGTCCTCCTCCAGGCCTCTGGCTACTTGGTAAACTTGCAACCAAGACCTCAGCCTGGAGGGAGTGGCATTCAGCGTAGTGGTTAAGATGCTGGTTAGGGGACCGTGTCCCACTAAGGAATGCCAGGGTTGATTCCTGCCACGTCCGGCTCCTGACTCCAACTCCCTGCTAACACAGGCCCTGCAAGGCAGTGGTGATGCCTGAAGTAGTCGGGTCTCTGCCACCCGTGGGCGATCCAGACTGAGTACCCAGCTCCTGGCTTCAGCCTGGCCCAGCCACAGCTGTTACATCTGGGGAGCAACCCAGTGGCTATGAGCTCTCTGTCTGTCCTCTGTCTCTCGGCCTCTCAAATAAATACATAAAAATTTTTAAAGTTGTCAGCTGACATCAACAGTGGGGAAAACAAGGCAACAAGAAGGTGGGTGTGGAAGGGCATTCAATACAGGATTCTGAAGCATTCCCGCCCCGCCCCACCATCAGTTCTTCCTTGCTCCAGCCCCTGGGAAGGTCAAGAACTCCTAGGAAGAGCAGTGACTAATGATAATGAGGAATCTCTAACATTTACTGAGCCTTCACCCAGCTGCTTTACATGCACTACTTAACTTTTAAACATTACCTTATTGAAATGCAGAGAGGCAGACAAGAGATCTTCCATACACTGATTCACTCCCCAAATGCTCCACAGCACCTAGGGCTGGGCAAGGTCAAAGCCAGGAGCCCAGAGCTCCATCCGGGTCTCCCATGTGGGCGGCAGGGACCCAAGTGCCTGAGCCATCATTTGCTGCCCCGTCGTATGCACATTGGCAGGAAGCTGGACTGGAAGCCGAGCTGCCACACAAATTCACGGGAGCCCAACATGTGATGCCGGATGTCCCAAGGAGCCTGTCAGAACAACTCCTAAGAAAGTACTTTTGTTATCTCCATTTTACAGATAAGAGAGGCACAAGGAAGTTAAGCAACTTGCCCAAGGCACAGAGCCTCTAGAAAAGTCAGGATCTGAAACCAGACTCTCCAGCAGCTGGATTCCCATCCAATGCAAAATACGGAGTCACGGTGACATGGTCCTTTCTGTTTCCGGGAGAGAATGGGGGTCCGGCCTTGCTCTCAGCCCCACACCCTGCCTCCAGGCCTGATGGGTACCAGGTCTGCTTTAAAGAACACAGCTCCTGCCCAGGAAAGAGATCAAAGAGACAGCACCGCTCCCCACCCCCAACACAAGTGTCCCACTGCTCTGTGCTCCGAGAGAGCAAAGTTCTCAGGCCTCCCCGTCCTGCCCATCCCCAGTCTGCAATGTGCTCACACACGCGGGTCCCTATTGGTCAGAGGAGCAAGGCAAGCTACTGGGACGACAGCACAGGGCCCCTGCTGAGATGCCACCAGCGGGAGAGGAGCTGCTGCTCGCTCTTCGCCCCCCCCCTCCCCGCCGTGGGGATCATAGGTCAAGTGGGACTCCCTAGTGAGGTGGAATCCAAGCCCCGCCCCGCCCCACCCACCTGCAGCCACACCTGTCCACTGCACCCCACTTTTTTCACTGCCGGAGTTGGAAGCAGGACCACTTTGTCCCAAGCGTCAAGGGGGAGTGGCCTCCAGTAGGGAGCCAGGGGGGCCTAGGACTAGAAGCCCCTCTCTCCTGAGGGCACTCTACAAAGCACCTCCTCCCTGTCCCCAGCTCTCTCCAGCTTCCCTAGTCAGACTGGGAGCCCACAGGAGTGTTTGTTGTGAATTCAGGGAGTTGTTGCTAAGGAGGGAAGGGAGGGAGGGGAGGAGGGGGCTGGCAGGAGGAGAAGAGGCTGTGTGTGTATGTGTGTCTGCCTGGGCTGTGTGTGTATGTGTCTGCTTATGCATATGCGTGTGAGCCTGTGCATGTGTGTCTGCTGTGTGTGTATCTGTGCATGTGTGTGTCTACATGTGTGTAAACTTATGCATTGTGCAAGCTTATGCATATGTATCTGTATGTGTGTCTGCTTATGCATGTATGTCTATACATGTGTGTGCATGTGTCTGTGCATGTCGGGGGGGTCTGTGTGGGTGTGCGCCTCTGCCTACACGGGGCAGAAACCACACTGAGGTGGCTTTGACTCAGCCAGAGGGGGCCAAAGCCAATAAGGGGAGCAAGGAGCAAGTACTTGGGAGGAACAGGAAATAGTACCTTGCCCTCCAGGGTGATCAGGCTGAATCTCCCGCCTCCCATGGGGGTGGAGGAGACAGGGAGGAGGGGGAGGGAGGACATTAAGCTTGGAGAAGGGCTGGAACCAGAGGAGTTGGGCTGGACCCAGCCCACCCAGCCCCGCCCCCACTCCCAGCTCCAAGCAACCAGGTTCCAGGTTGTTGAAGGCTACTGGCCCAGCGGCAGCCCCAGAAGGCCTCCCCCCGGGGGGTGGGGGAGGGAAACGAAGGGAGAAGTGGGAACAGAGAGCCAGGAGGGAGCCCCAAAGACAAAACAGCCGAGCAGGAGGCTAAGCCGGGGTGACGCGGCCACTGCGGACAGAGCAGGAGGCTGAGGAGGACGCACGCAAGCACACGGACCTCTCACCTCGGGACTAGTGGGTGTCAGGCTCAGGCTCGGGATGGGGGCTCCCTGTGGAGAGAGGGTCACAGATGGAAGCTCCCACCAGCAATCCAGGCCCCTGCTCCTCCCAGCCCGGCCCCAGCCCCACACCCAGCACATAAACATGTACACACGTACACACCGCCTGCAGCTCCAGGAAGTCTCTGGGCTGCTCAGACACCCCACCACCAACAGGACTTCTGTGGATTGGCTGGCAGCCAGGCCTGACCCAGCTGCCCCACCATGCCACTCCCCCTCCCTATCCTGGAAGCAGGAAAGGAGAAGGCACTGGAAGACCTCCGTGCTCCCAAGAGCTTGGCCCCACAGGGAGAGAGGAGGGGCGGAGGACTCCCATGGCCTGGCCTGAGAGGGGAGGGCACTGGGGGGGACCTGGGGAGCCGGGCTCCCAGGGCCAGCCACCCCTGGAAAAGAATGGCTATGGCTCCAACATCACAATGATGGCTCCTCAGCTAGGGCCCTGGTCCCCTTAAGACACGAAGGCCTGGGGCCCTGGTTTGGGTGGGAGGGCCAGGACCCAGGGAGGCAGCAGAGGGGAGCTGGCTGAAGCCCCCACGACAGGCGGAGGGAGGCTGGTGGCTGGGCTCAGTTTGTACTGGGGGTCAAAGGGGAGTTCTTTTCCGAAGAATTCTGGGAGAGAAGCCAACTAGAGCAAGCTGCTAACCGCCCCTCCCTTTCTCTCACTGCACTGGGGGTGGGGGTGGGGGGTGTCCCTGCCAACCAGACTTAACCCTCTCCAGCCTACTGCTCCCAGCCAGGCTGGAGTTGCTGGGCAGGGGGCCTGCAGCTGGGCTCGGCTTCCAAGGCTAGGGGGCAAGCAGCACAGGGCATCTGCCAGCACGCGGCTGGGTCCACAGGCCCCATCTGGCACTGCCGGCCCCGTGGCCACCTGGGTGACTTTTCTGGGCTCATCTCCTGAAGGTGTCTGCAGTGACGTGTGTGTGCGTGTCTCAGAGACAGACATTGAGAAACAAACTGAAAATTCCTTGCCAAGGCACTCCCCATGCCGGGTCACTGAGCACTGTACCAACCTGTGCCTCTACCCCTCCCTTCCTCCCTCTGCACTCTGGGACCAGGGGCTGCGGGGGGAGTAAAAGGGAGAGCTTCTCCTTGTGACCACCTCCTGTGCTTCCTCCGCTGGCTCTGGGCCCCCACAGCCGGTGTCCTGGCCCTCTTCTCCTGCACTGAGTTGTTCACATACTCCAGTCGTAGCCTGGGACCCCAGGATGGGAGACTGAGTATGATAATGAAGCTTCCAGCACCTTTATCCTCGCAGATGTAACTCCATCATCACCATCCTGGCCTTGGCTAAACCACCCCACCCTCTTCCTCCCCTCCTGCAGATCACTGTCTGGCTGCAGCAAGAGGCAAGGAGGTTAAACAGCAGGAAGGACTTTCCAGGCCCAGGGCTACAGTGGCAGGCGGCCCCTCTCGCTGCTCCACGGGCTGTACATATGAGGGTCCTGTCTTGTTTTGTATTTGTCCCTTGCTGGAGAGGTCTGCATTCCTGAATGTCTGTACAATTGTCCCCAAGCCCTCTGTGAAGCAAGTAACCCCACGGGTGGACGGTTCCCTGCCCTGCCCCTGTATGTCATCAGAACACAGAATGGGGAGGGGGCTGGTGGGGACACCTCAAAGTGCTGGGTGTCCACAAGGGGTGGCACGAGCTGGTGTATCCCAGTCTCCCTGCTCCACGGCCCACTCGCTCGCTCTTCAAGGACCACAGAACCTGCCAGAAGCCTGGGCCCCACGCCAGGAAACGTCCCTATCAACAGGCAGAGGACTGCGCGTCCCAGGGCGCTGTGGGAGACCTGTGACCGCACACGCCAGCCATGTTCCCAGGAAGGAGGAGAGAGGCGAAGGGACGGGCAAAGCCCTGCACACACCTCAGAGAGCCACGGCCAGCACACACTCCCCACACACAGCCCCTGCCACAGCGAAACAACCGCCAGCTCGTCAGGAGTGACCCCTGAGACCCAAAGGGACTCCCACACCATGGAGGCAGACCCGAGAGCTCAGGAGACACACAGAAGTGACACCCACACGCGGACACACACAAGGTAGTACGTGGGCCACGTGCTGGCGCACAAACTCAAACACGCAACCTTGCAAGGCACAGCGTGGGGAGGGGAGTCGGGCGGGTGGGGAGTGCTCAGGGATTTCAAAACAATCCTGGTTTCGAAATGCTGGAAATGCTGGATTCAGGGCCATTCCCAGTTGAGGCTTAGAGGGGGCGGGTGGAGAGCAAGGGGGGGAGGGGAAGACAGGCCAGCAGCCTGTTTCCCAGAGCACTGCAGGAGGACAGGGGCTGGACGGGAGGAGTCCCAGCCCCTGGGGAGGGGGCCTGGAAAGAGCCACCAAGGTCAGGAGGGGCAAGGAGGGGCAAGGAGGGGCAGGGAGGGACAGGGAGGGCCTGGGCTGCTGGGGAGGAAGCCACAGGGAGGCCCCGGCTCTGGCCCTGGACAGGGAAAGCAAGGAGGTGGGGGGCGTGCCTGTACCCCTTCCCCATCAAAGCAGTGGCGACCAGCTTCTCCCCTCCAGAGTAACACCCTGGCCCCTTTTCCCCAGCAGCCAGCAGAGCCCCGGGGGGGCTGAAAGCTAAGACTCAGGGACCCCGGTTTTCCAGGGCTCTCCACTCTCAGAGCAAGATGGGGGCGTCCCATGGGCACCCAAGGCTTCCTTCCCCTCCAGAGAGAGGGTAGACCCTGGGGGAGACTGAGTCAGGGCAATCCGCTCAGCACCCAGGAAGTCGCCCCTCCCAGGGCAGCCAGAATGCCCTTGCTGCCCCTCCCCCAACCTCCAGGGGAGGTCAGGCCAGGCTGGGGGTGGGGCTCTGGAGGCCTGGCCCTGGCACCCAGCGGAGGAGATTCCAGGCTGTAACTCCAGGCCGCCTTCAGGGCCACCAGTCCAAGTGACATTCAGGAGCTACCGTGCAGCCGGGGGCCCTTCTTCCCTGAGCCGCTGAGCCCCTGGTCCTGGCCGCCCAGCCCCCTGGCTCCAGCTCCGGGACTTAGAGGACGGGACTTAGAGGACGGGCTTGAGGAAACTCAGGACCCCTCTCCCAGCCCGGGCTGAGCCCCGGCTGAGCCCCTCTGGCCAGTGGGGGCCTCCTCTCTCAAGGTCCCACAGGCTGGCTCTGGGTGGGCAGCTGTTGGAGCTGGCAGGCAGGGGCACAGATGCCAAGCCGGAGCAGCCAGGCGTACAACAGGTTGAGCCAGTCCTTGGAACAGTCGGCCCCACCCCAGGGAGAGCGGGCCTGGCAGAGGCTCCCTGCCCGCGGCACCCAGCCTGTGCCCGCTTGGCTCCCACGGCTGCCCACTTTCCCACGGTGCCATCCCCCTCCACCCTCTCCCCCAGGTCAGCACCCGGGCAGTGCCCAGGGCTCTGGTACAAGAAAGCCCAGGGTGCCGTTCCCTGTCAACCCTGGGTGCCCAGGCCCTGCCGGCGCCCCAGTCTCAGCAACCAGGAAGCCCGGGATGAGTGACCCAGCAGCAAGGCAGCAGGAAGCCCAAAGTGCGCCCCCCCCCCCTTGCAGGCCTCTGCTGATCCTGGAAAGCCTGGATACAGACACCCTGGCTCCCAGGAGCTGCCTCGGGGCTCTGGGACTGGACCGCAGCCTGTGGTGCCAGAAGCAGTAGGTGGGTACCCCCGGCCCTTCCTCTTAGACTCCCTGGGGGGAGGCTGCAGGCCTGGGTGACTGTTGGTTCCCTCCACTCCTGCCAGAGCTGCTGCTGTCTGCCACCTAGGTGCTGCTCTCCCACCCCACTCCTGGTCTCCACTGAGCTCCATCCTAGCCGCTCCCCACCCCCTACCCCGGCAGGCAGCCCCCCTTTAATCTAAAGCAGGTGCCAAGCGTTCCAGCCCTTGCTGAGTCGACACTGCCACCCGCCAGGTCTCTGGCCTTGGTCATGGACTTGGTCATGGACATTGAGTACACTGCCCAAGACTCCTCCATAACCCAGGAGCTAGGAGCTCAGCAGGGTCATGGGGGCCCAATGCAGGGTCACTAGGTCCCAGATCACCACCGGTGTGCTCACCACTGGCTGGCCAGCCTCAGTGCACCAGCAGCCCCCCAGGGCCCTGTCATAGCCATAATTAGAGACTGTCTCTAGCCACGGGACCCTGCTACCCTGGGCACAAGAGTCACTGTAGATTCAAGATGAAAGATATTCCACCCCTCCCCAGCATCCTTCTCAACACGAACCCCTAGCCCAGCTCCACCAGGATCCACGCAGGTAAGCAGAGAACCCCGAAAGAGGTGGCCAGACGCTGGCCTCCAAGGCCTGGTCCTCCAGGGCCAAGGAGGCAGAGGCCCCCACCCCCGGGAGCCAGCACCTTTCTGACACCAGATGCCCTGTCTCCCTCCCTGCCCCATTCTCCCTCTGTCCTGAGGCTTCTACCAGCAGGACCTCTGGAGTGACACCAGGAAGACAGGGCCCGAGCCTGCTCTTCCCCTGGGGCCATGAAATTGTGGTCCTGACCCAGAGGAGACAGCCCAGCCTACACTGGGGGCCAGCAGAGGAGCCGGTGGCCCAGGTCAGGAAAAAGTAGCTGCTCCTTGGAGAGCTAGGGAGAGGGGAGAAGCAGGCAGTGGAAGCCCGCCTGCCCGCCCCAGAGGTCTCTCTTGGAGAGAGCTGCTCAGGGCCGGTCGCAGGGTTGTAGCAGGTACAGTGCGCAGCTGGCCCTCCTACGGGAAGGGTCCGCGGAGCCTGGGAGGGAAGGCGAAAGACCGAGGGGGCCCGGGAGCCCCCTTCCCAGGGCAACACTCTTCCTCCTGGCAGCAGCCGTCCCCCAGACACAGACACAAACACACACCCCAAGCAGCAGGCAGACAGGAGGAGGAGGAGGGAGGGGGTGTCAGCACAACCCGGAAGGAAGGAAGCTGGACAGACAGACAGAAGCCGAGCGGGGCTCCGCTGCTTGGCGCAGACACCTTCCAGCCGCCCCGCTTCTGAGCACTCGTGTCTTCCTCAGCCCCCACGAGGGAGGAGAGTGGGGCAGACCTGGCCTCTCCGGGCAGCGCAGGGATGGGTCGTCCCCCCTCCTGTGGAGTCTCACTTCTCTCCCCCACATTCTCCTCCCCAAGGACCCCTGTGGACCAAGGCAGGGGCCCCCTCCCTTCAGCAGTGTGGGGACACCTCCAAGGAACTGTGGGACTGCCCTACCCCCACCCCCACCCCCAGCCAAGCCCACACCACTCAGAATCCCCAGCAGCCACAGGCTCTGCTGCTCACAGGCAGTGGCTAGGGGCAGAGGGTGGCCCCGGCGCTCCCCCAATCCTAACCCACCTCCTTCCACTGGCTCTGCAGCCCAGGGGAGGAGGGCTGGGGTGCTGAGACCCACGGGATGGGGGAGCCTGGGAGGGGACTACATCTCCCAGAAGCCCCCAGGGCAGGGTTCCCCGCTCCAGCTGGCCCAAGGCCGGCCTTGTTCTCTGCGCTAGGGTGGCAGGGTCCCCCTGCTGCCCCTAAGCCCTCCTCTCTGGGCTCTGGGGCTGCCAACCTGATGGGGTGCCCAAGAGTAGCCTCTGCCGGCCCTGGGGGTGTCCCCCACCCCTTAAACAGCCTGGGAGTGTGTGCCAGCAGGCAAGAGACAATCAGTCTGTGTTTCCCCCTCCCCAATTCAAACTGGTGCTCTCTTCTTCGCACCTCTGCTGGCCTGGCATGACTTTCGCCCTCGCCCCCAACCCACCCCTCACCTCGCGCGGGTCCGGTGGTCCTCACGCCAGGCCGGAGCTGGACGCCATGACCAGGTCAGGGTCGGTGGGTGGCTTGGGGTCCTTCTGATTCACAGTTGGAGGTGCGGAGAGGGCGGGCAGGCGGTGATCTTTTGATCCTGGACGCCTTGATCTCAATCCCAGCCCGGCCCGGGAGAGGGTGTCCGGGAATCGCGGGGCGCCTGGGTTCCTGCCTCCCAACTGCGGAGCATGGTCGTGGGCGCCGGGCAGCGGCGGGAGAGTGCGCGCACCCGCCCGGGCCGGGGCTCGGGGCTGGGGTCTCGGCCCCGAACCTCAGGGCTCCGGCTCCTGCTCCTCCTCCCTTCCTTCCTTCCTTCCTTCCTTCGCCTCTTCCTTTCACTTTCCCCGAGGCCCGCGGGGACGGCGGGCACGGGGCGGGGAGGGGGCTGTCTGGGCGCTTATTGTTGGTCGGACGCCGAGGGTCCGGGTCGCAGCCCCCTGGCGGCGCGGCGCCGGGGGACCCAGGCGTGCGGGCGTCCGGCCGGCTGGCTCCGGGCGGCGGCGGTGGTGCAGCGGCCCCGAGTCCGGGGCATGTCCGGCCACTGGCTCCGCCGCGCGCCGCCGCCTCCCCGGGCTCCCCTGCGCTGCCGGAGCCTCGCTCGCCCCTCCGCTCGGCTCCTCTCCCCAGCCTGAATAAGCATCGGGGCTCTCTGGCTGCCTCCTTCTGCCTTCATACCAGAGCCCGGAGAGGCCCCTGTCAAAATAAGAGCTCCCCCATCTCGCTCGCCTCCTCGCCCGAGCCGGCTCCCCCAGCCTCCCAGCGGTCTGACTCGGTAAGGCGCCCGGCCGGCTAGCGGGAGGCAGGTTGGCCCGGGGGCGGGGAGGGGGGCTCTGGCCCTCCTCTCCTCCCCACTCCCGAGCAGGGGAGGAGCATCCCAGGCTCGGCTCAGGAGAGATTTGACAAGCCTGGCCTCCAGTCTGCCCTGATTGGTAGGAGTGGGGGTTGCCTGGACACCCGCGCGCACCCAGCTCTGGGTCCCCTCTGCTCCTGTACCCACCCGCATCCAGGATGCGCTGAGCATCTCCTTATTCGTGTGTCTCCTGGTGGACCATGAGGTCCTGGAGGACACAGATGATCATTTTCATCTCGGTCCTCAGCAAAGCTGAGTGGATGCTGAGAAATTGTGGAAGTGAAACCTTTGTCTTCTCAAAAGAGCTGGCTCCTAACCTCCAAGTGTCAGTCTCTCTCTTTCAATCACACACACGCGCCCTATTGCACCGTGGATGCAATGCAAAAGGAACTGTAAAGCACTTTTTGAAAGCATATGGTCCCATTACACAGGTGAGGAGACTGAGGCGGGCCTTACCGAAGGACTTACTGGGGGGGGGGGGGGTTACACTAGAAAGTGGCGAGTCCAGAGCTAGAATTTCCATCTCCCTATCCCAAGTCACTTTCCCTCCATCCTACTGGTCTCGACCCCTCCTCCCTGGAATGATCACCAGGTGACAAGCGTTTCCTCGTGCTTTGGAAACTTGCTTTGGATACCAGCAAGTGTATTTAATTGCTGCTCCCCTGCCACTCCGCACGGACGGTCTCCCGGGGTCTCCAGCCCTCACTGACCTCCCTGCCTTCTGACCCCTGTCACATCTTTACCCCACCCAGGACCCAGATGCTGGAACTCCTTCCCCTGAGCCCGTGTCTGGTCGCCACCAAAGACTCCCTGGGGCCTCTGTGCTCCTCACAACAGGACTTCAGGATCTGATGCATCCACGGTGCGAGCCGCCGGGCACTGGGCAAGCTCGGGGGAGGCCGACCTGGAAAGACGACCTCCACCCACCCAGCCCAGCTTGTGTCTGACACATCACAGTCTGCAAAGTCCTTTCATGCACACAGTGGCAGGATCCTGCTTTGATCCACGAAGAGAACTTTACAAGTGCCTGCTGACTGCTGTGCACGCACCGCGTTAGGTCACGGGTGGGAGCAGCACGATCCTACCAGGTGGGAGGAAAAGAGAACCGAGGTCCGGAGAGGCGGAGCTCTGCTGTGGGAGATCCCAGCACCTACACTAGTGCCTGGTCCGTGGAAACAGGCGTCAATTTCTTCTCTCTGCGGCGTCCCTGGAGGATAATACAGGCCACAGTTCTCAAACAGGATGCTTCTAGAAGAGCGCACGCACAGTCTTGCATTACATACATGACCAGCCACGTGGTCATATGATGCCCTTGGCACGAGCCTGTTCCTCATAGGCCCAGAAACCGGGGTTTGTAGGGGTGCGTGATGGCTAGGTTCTAAGGGGGTCTCTTACATACGGTGCGCCCGTCCTGGGGAGCGGCCATGTAGAGCGCTCCCCTGGGTGGGGCTGTGACTCACTGCCCCAGCGTAGGCTCCAGGTTGGGATGCCGAGCGGACTGGGGGCAGCCACGAGTTCTGGGTGGGACCCGGGAGAGAGCGAGGAGCCAAAGCAGACAGGCTGAGGGCAGCCCGCGGCGGGAATCGAGCGGCTCCCTCTACTGGCGAGCGGGGGAACCGCGGCGATTTCGGTGTATCTGTGTGTCACTGAGTCACGAGGGGTGTCACAGGTGTGTCAGCGAGTGGGGGGTGCCAGCGCCACGCGACGCCTCGCTGGAAACTGGGGCGCGCACACCTGTCACGCTTACTTAGGGCCTGCAGAGCGTCTGAGATGGGGCACCCCGAGTGCCCGGCGTGGCTGGGGCGCACGGCTGCCCGGTCGGTTCCCCTCACTGGCCCCGCGCACAAGCCAGGGAAGACGCGAGGGCTCCAGGCCGTGAGGACCGTTCCCGGTAAGGGACTATCCCATCAAACAACCGGGCGCCCAAGAAAGAGTTAACCGCGAGCCCCACAGCGACCGCAGTCATTGGCTCAGGGCGCTGTCCGTCAGCGTGCTGGGGGCGGGGCTTGCGGGGCCGCCGCCGGATCGCCCGGAGCCCCTCACTTGCCCCTCGACCCCCACATCCTCTCACGGCTGGGCTGCTCCCACACCCCCATCTTGCTGGCGACGCCTCCCGGGCCCTGGAGGAAGAGCGGACCGGGCCTCCTGGCGTCCCCCACTCTCTCCAGCTGCCTGGCTTCCCGACGGAGGGTGATGATTACATAACAGAATTGCCGGGCAGCCCCGTGCCAGCGCCCCTCCTCGGAGCCTGCCCCGGGGCCTGGCACCTGCCGCGCAGAGCCTGCTGCGCCGCCGCCCCGGCGGGAGACCCCGGGCCCCCAGATGGCCCAGAGGCCGAGTCCCGAGGCGCGGCGGGCGCCAGGCTGGCAGCCGGGCCGGCGCCCCGCAAGGTCTCAGGGTCTCGCCTGCGGTCGGGTGGCTTCGCCAGCGCCTCTCTCAGACTGTGGGACCCACCTGGCCCCCTCCAACTTGAACTTGGAACTCGGGAGCCAGTAAAGGTGGGGCCAGAGGGCGCTGAGGCCAGGGTCGGAGAGGGAGAGGAGTTCGGAGACGCCGCGGGGGCTGGGCGAGGGGCCGGCCGGGGCGGGGGGGGGGGGGGACTCTTATCCTGACAGGGCTCCCGCCTTCCCCGACTGGAGGGTTTGGAAAAACTGAGCAGGCAGCCAAGGCTTGGCTGGAAATCCTGCAGCCCACCCTCCCGGGGACACAAAGCTGCGGGGCGGGGGCAGGGCGGGGGAGGAGAGCGCGACCCCGCGGAGGGCAGGGCCTCTTTTGGGGCTGGGGGCCCAGGGGCCAGGTCCCCGGGGAGGGGGCTCCTGGCGCTGTCTCCCTGCTGTCTGCTTCCCCCTTCTCCTCTCTGCCCCCCTCCTCTGCGGCCTCCTCCCCCTCCCCGGCTCCAGTCTTGCAGATTGCGGGCAGACTTAACTCCTTGCGTCCCAGCCTGGCGGACTCCGGGGTGGGGACGCTGTGGGAGAGGGGCTCCGGACCCCGCTCCCGCCCGCAGCTGAACACCTGGTGGCCCGGAACTCGGGCAGGTTAGGGCCGGGAAAGGCTGTCCCGCGCAGACCCCGGCCCCAGCGGGCTCCCCGGCGCACCCTGAACGGCCTCCCCGCCCAGCTCGCACTCTCCGCGTCTCTCCCTCCGCCCTGTGTCTGCCCTCCTTCTCCCCGCCCCGACCGCTGACTGCGGCCCAGGCCCCCGGCAGCGCGACGGCGAGGGGAGCCCGCGAGTCTGGGTGCCCTAGCAGCCTCGGCGTTCTCCCCCGCGTCCGCCGCCGAGGCCCCGCGCAGGTGACCACAGCTCCCGCCTCGCTCGCCCCCCAGCGGGGTTCTTCCACCTTTCCGGCCATCCCCAGGGGCGGAGAGTGCCAGTCTCCCCCGGAGACCCTGACCTCACCCTGCCCCAGCCCCTCCCCTGTCAGATGTGCACCCCCGAATTCTTGTGGGAACGACTCTGCCTGAGGGAGACGCCTCGGACTCGGCCGGAAGGGGTTAACGGAGCTAGCCGGCTCTACGTGAAAGCCAGGTGTGGTCCCGCCCACCTTGGCCGTCAGGTGCGTGTGGGTGGGAAGAGGAGGGACACTGACCTTAAGGACGGCTCGTTTTTTTTCTCTTGCCCCCTGGTGGCTAGACCTGGCTTAGCAGCCGCTGGCAAAAACATGCTCACGTGGGGATTCGCGCAAGGACGTTGGGGACAGCTAGAGGGTCCTTCCCTGAGAACTGCACCGTCCGAGGGAGGGAGAGCTCTCCGGGGAGGAAGAAGGGAGCTCGCAGGACCCCTAACCTTGCTGTCCCACACAGCGGACTGCCCCAGCCACTCCCAACAGATCCCTGCCCTAGCAACTCCGCGCCGCGCGTCCCAGGTGCCCAGACAACCTGGAGCCGGGCAGAAAGAACACAGAGGATGCAGGCCATGCCCTCCGAAGTCGCCATCTAATAGACAGGGACGCGAGGGAGTTGCATCCGCCTCTCCTTTCTGCGGCCCAGGCCCGCCTCCAGCTCACATGCCTCCAGACCCCAGAATCCTGCAAAGCCCTGGCCGGCTTCAAAGCTCTCACTGGCAGTCCTGTCCCCTGGAGCTTCCCGCCCTCCAACCAAGCGGCCTTCTGGGTTCAGATCATCAAAAGATCCCCCCTGAGGGATTGTGGGTGCTCACAACCACTGCCTTTCTCCCCAACAGCCCTCCCAGATTGGCAGAGCCCACGGTCACCCAGGGCCAGGCCGTTGCCTCACTCACTCCCCTGCCCGCCTCCCTCTCAGATCTCCTGTGCGGGCAGTGCTGCCCCTACAGGTCGCCATACCCGACTCAACGTTTGCCTTCCCCTCCCCTGACCAACTCCGCCCATTTAGTCCTACCATGTGCTGGGCACTGCTTATGCTTGTGACAAGACATATGAGGTCCTGGCCCCCCTCACAGCCTGGTTGGAGACTGACAGCCAGTAACAGGCAGGCTCAACTCAGTGTGATGAGGGCTTGGGCACACTCAGGGGAGATCTATGTCCCAGACTTGGGACCCCAGAACAGGGAATGACATCGGAGCGGAGACTTCTTCCAGCCATGGGTGTGGTTCTGTTCAGGCAGGTGGTGCATGTCGCTGGGGGCCTCCAGACAGAGCAGGAGCCCAGCAAGAGGTCTCAGCCAGAGACCTGTGGGGCTGCATTCCCACACAACCCATTTCTCATCCATTCAATCCACATTCCAGGAGGAGGCTGGCCTGGGAGTCCAGTACATGTGACCTTGGCCTAGGCACTCCCTCTCGCCGGGCCTCTGTCTCTTAACATGTACAAAGGAGTGAGTGTGTCTGCAAGGCCTTCTTCACCCTGCAGAGAGAGATTAAATGGCAAGCTAGAGAGAGAGAAAACTGCTTGGCTGCAGTCCACTTGGGAGGACGGAGTTCATAAACCGGAGCAGGGCCCCTGAGGAAGTCACAGCCAGGCACCTCTGCTTGCCCGACGCCCCACCTTGGTTGTTCTGGGTGCTGGGAACATTGAATTCGTGCCCTTAACTGAAGGCTGGGGGACAGTGCCCACAGGACATGCTTAGTTGCTGCATGAATTTGCTCTTATATGCAGTACTGTAGAGCTGCTACTTGCAAAAGATGGGGAAGGGACTTGGGTAAAATCACGTGACGGCCGGCGCTGTGGCTCAATAGGCTGATCCTCCACCTGCGGCGCCGGCACACCGGGTTCTAGTCCTGGTCGGGGCGCCGGATTCTGTCCCGGTTGCCCCTCTTCCAGGCCAGCTTTCTGCTGTGCCCCGGGAGTGCAGTGGAGGATGGCCCAAATCCTTGGGCCCTGCACCTGCATGGGAGACCAGGAGAAGCACCTGGCTCCTGGCTTCAGATCAGCGTGGTGCGCTGGCTGCAGCGGCCATTGGAGGGTGAACCAACGGTAAAGGAAGACCTTTCTCTCTGTCTCTGTCACTGTCCACTCTGCCTGTCAAAAAAAAAAAAAAAAAAATCACGTGGCTGGGAAGTGACAGCTGGCAGAAGTCCCCAGGCCTCCTAATACCCCATCCAGACTCTTCCACAACACCACTGGGCCTCTGGTATCCAGCGTTCCACTGGACTTCTTCCTGTGTCTGGCTTATTGCCCTGGGCGGCCAGAGGATCTGGGAAGGCAATCTGGACATCGACCCCTCCCCTCCCCCAGCCTGAAAGGGTGCTCAGAAACCTCCCGTCTCCCAGGCCCCTTTTTGCCCCCTCATCACGACCCTATTCACGTGCGTGTCGCTCACTGGCTCCCAAGAGGCATCTCTGGACTGTGCACAAAGCGGGGGCAGGCATGTACTGAGCCCCAGGCAGCCTGAAGCCTGCTCTGTGGCCTCAGGCAAACTGATTAACCTCCCTGGGCCTCATGTCTTCACCTGCCAGGAACCGTAACCTGGGGCTGGCTCCCAGGCTGATGGTTAAGACGCAGGCTGGGATGCTTGGGTCTCACGTGGGGTGCCTGTCTCCTGCTCCTGGTTTCAGCTCCCTGCTCACGCGACCTTGGGAGGGGGCAGTAATGGCCCCAGTAGTGGGATCCTCGCCACCTACAGCTCTGGGACAGCCTTGACTGTTGTACAGTGAACCAGCAGACAAGAGTGTTCTCTCTCTCAAATAAATAAAATTTTCAAAAATATTTGTGCAAAGATCTTTAACTTCTCATAACCCCTGGGGCACTGGTAAGTTGAAATCCCAGTTCAGGAAGAGTTTTTAAAAGGTTGGGGCCAGTGCTGTGGCGTAGCAGGTAAGGCTGCCTGCTGCCTGCGGTGCTGGCATCCCATATGGGCACCAGCTCGAGTTCTGGCTGCTCCACTTCCAAGGTTCAAGTCCTGGCTGCTCCACTTCCAATCCAGCTCTCTGCTGATGCACCTGGGAAGGCAGCAGAGAATGGCCTTAGTGCTTGGGCCCCTGCACCCATGTGGGAGACCCAGAGGAAGCTCCTGGATCCTGCCTTTGGACTGGCCCAGCTCCAGCCTTGTCTATTTGGGGAGTGAACCAGTGGATGAATGATCTCTCTCTCTCTCTGTCTCTCCTTCTCTTTCTATAATGTGTAACTCTGCCTTTCAAATCAATAAATCTTTAAAAAAAAAAAGATACAGCTCTGAGGCCAGTGTTGTGGCACAGTGGGTCAGGCCTCCACTTGAGATGCCAGATCCCATATAGAGCACCCACTGGAATCTGGCTGCTCCTGTTCCTATCCAGTTCCCCGCTGATGCACCTGGGAAGACAGCAGATGGCTCTAGTGCTCAAGTCTCTGCCACTCAATCTGCCTTTCAAATAAATTTTAAAGAATTTAAAGATTTTATTTTATGAAAGGCAGAGTTACGGGGAGAGAGAGAGATCTTCCATCTGTTGATTCACTCTCCATATGGCCATAATGGCAAGGGCTGGGCTAGTCCAAAGCCAGGAACCAGAAACTCCATCCAGGTCTCCCACGTGGGTGGCAGGGGCCCAGTCACTTGGGTCATCTGCTGCTGCCTTCCCAGGCACATTAGCAGGGAGCTGGAACCAAAGTGGAGCAACCAGGTTTCCAACTGGTGCTCATACAGGATGCCGGCATTGCAGGCAGCAGCTTAACCCACTGGGCCACTAAGTAAAAAAAAATTTTTTTTTTTTTTTGGACAGGCAGAGTTAGACAGTGAGAGAGAGAGAGAGAAAGGTCTTCCTTCCATTGGTTCACTCCCCAAATGGCTGCTACGGCCAGCGCACTGCGCCAATCTGAAGCCAGGAGCCAGGTGCTTCCTCCCGGTCTCCCATGCGGGTGGAGGGCCCAAGCACTTGAGCCATCTTCCACTGCACTCCCAGGCTACAGCAGAGAGCTGGCCTGGAAGAGGGGCAACCGGGACAAAACCGGCACCCTGACCGGGACTAGAACCTGGGGTGCCAGTGCCCCAGGTGGAGGATTAGCCTAGTGAGCCACGGCACCGGCCAATATTTTTAATAATAATAATAAAAAGAGCTCTGAGTAAGGAAATGGTAAAGCCTAATGCTTCTGTCTGTGGGGTCCCATGACCTCAGGGCCACATCCATGGTAACTGCTGGACCATGGCACTGTGTCTGGGGTGTTGACACCCCGGCACCAAGCTGAGTGCTGTGACCGTCACAGAACTTATAAGTTGGGCTGACGCCGCGGCCCACTAGGCTAATCCTCTGCCTGCGGCGCTGGCACACCAGGTTCTAGTCCCGGTTGGGGCGCCGGATTCTGTCCCAGTTGCCCCTCTTCCAGGCCAGCTCTCTGCTGTGGCCTGGGAGTGCAGTGGAGGATGGCCCAAGTGCTTGGGCCCTGCACCGCATGGGAGCAGGAGAAGCACTCGGGCTCCTGGTTTGAGGATCAGCGCGGTGCGCCAGCTGCGGCGGCCATGAGAGGCTGACCCCAATGGCAAAAAGGAAGACCTTTCTCTCTGTCTCTCTCACTATCCACTCTGCCTGTCAAAAAAAAAAAAAAAAAGAACCTATAAGTTGAATGCACTCTGGGTCTGCCCAACCCAAATACATACGTGTGTCGGTGAGTGGCCCAGAAAGAGCAAACAGGAGAGGAACCCGGATCTTGGTGGGAACAAATCTCAAAGACCAACTGCCAAGTTCAGATCCTTTCTGATGTTCAACTCCCTGCCAACATCTCTGGCAAGCAGTGCATCATCCGGAACAAGCGCAGGAGTGGAGACCGCACGGACGCCCGAGGCGGCCCCTTCCCTTTAGGAACATCTGGTTTTCCTCGCTCTGAGCTGAACTCCGTCTCCTAGCACTCTGCACTGAGCCAGCTCCGCTTGGGGCTGAACCCGCCCCCCAGCAGTCCCCCCAGTGGAAGACTCATTCCTCCCAGAACAGCCCTTCAATACTTGAGCCCTGGGGACTCCTGCCTTCCTCTGCTCTGGCCCGAACACTCCCATCCCACCAACCAGTCACTTCCAGGATGACACCTGAGCAGCTCCTCAGGCAGGACCATCCATCCTCTCCTTTATTCCAAATATCGTCTCTCCAGTAATACAGCTTCACATTGACTTCGCTTGGGGCCGCCCAGCGGGTTAAGCCGCTGCCTGCAATGTGGGTACCCCTCATCCTCGCTGCTTCCAGTTCAGCTTCCTGCTGATGCTCCCGGGGAGGCAGCAGACCCTGCCCTCCGTGTGGGAGACCAGGATGCAGTGCCTGGCTCTTGGCTTTAGCCTGCTCTAGACCTGGCTGTTGTGGCCATTTAGGGAGTGAACCAGCAGATGAAAGCTCGCTCTCGCTCTCGCGCTCTCTCTCTCTCTGTCACTTTGCCTTCCAAATAAACAAATAAATCCTTTAATACAAATTGAATTTGCTTGTGGCAGCCAGGTTATGCTGATGACTCGGCTGACCATATTAAAACCCCTGATTCTTCTCCACCTGAGTGCTTCTACGCCGTGTCTGGCCCTGGGCATGCTGACATTCCCATCATTTCATCTTGTTGGGTCTACCGTTCTGTACAGGGGGATGATTTTTTGATCTTCTCTGTCCTTCGATGTTTATGATCCCCCAGAAATGTGATACTCTATTTTTACACAAGCTGTTGGTAAAGACACTCAACAGGACAGAAATGGAGACAAAATCCAAAAGCACACAAATGTTCTTCTGGTTGATACCAGCTCTTGTCACATTGAGAAGTCTCAGGGATGTGACTTCGCAGATGGGATGGAATCAGGTTATAATGATCCTCAAAAGTCTAATGGGGGACAACATTAGGTGCACAAGTTAAGCCCCGCTTGGGATGCCTGCATCCTCTGTCAGTCTCTGGGTTCAACTCCCGGCTCTGCTTCCAGTCCAGCCTCCTTCTAATGTGCATCTTGGGAGTCAGCTCAAGTACCTGGGTCCCTGCCAGCCACGTGGAAACCCGGATTCAGTTCCGAGCTCCTGTCTTCCGTGTGGCACAGGCCTGGCTGTGGTGGGCTTATGAGGAATGAACCAGCCGAGAGAACTTTCTCTGTCTCTCTGCCTTTCTAATATTTTAAAAGTGTGATGGAAGAATAAGATCAGAAAATTTTGAGTACAAATGTCAGATAAGGTACAGTCTTTTATTTTTTAAAAAAAGATTTATTTATTTAATTGAAAGAGTTACAGAGAGAGGGAGGGGGAGAGAGGGAGGGAGAGAGAGAGATCTTCCATCTGCTGGTTTACTCCAGCAGCCAGGGCTGAGCCAGGCCAAAGTCAGGAGCCGGAAGCTTCATCCAGGTCTCCCTCATGGGCCATTAGCAGGGAACTGGATCAGAAGTGGAGCAGCCAGGACCCAATCAGAGCCTATATGGGATGCTGGTGTTGCAGGTAGTGGCTTTACCTGATAACCTACAGCGCCGCCCCCTGCCCTTTTTTTTTTTTTCTTTTTAGTTTATTTATTTAAAATGTAGAGTTACAGAAAAGGAGGGAGAGACAGAGAGCGAGAGCAAGAGCCAGAGAGAGAGAGAGATCTTCCATCTTCTGGCTCACTCCCCAAATGGCTGCAACGGCCAGGGCTGGACTGGACTGAAGCCAGGAACTCTACCTGAGACTCCCACACGGGTGCAGGGGCCCGCTCACTTGGGCCATCCTCCGCTGCTTTCCCAAGCACATTAGCAGAGAGCTGGATTAGAGTGGTGGCTTCCCTCCACGCCACAGCACAGGCCCCAAGGGCGCAGTCTTGCATAACAACAAAGGCTCTTACTTTGGAACTCTACAGATCTGGAGAACCTCAGGCACTCCAGCATGGGACACAGGCAACCCGACCACAGCGTTTTTGTTTTCTTTTGTTTAATTACTTTTCTGGAAGGCAGACAGAAAGAGGCCCTTATACTTTGTTAGTTTATTCCCCTAATGCCTCCAAGAGCCAAGGCTGGGCCAGGCTGGAGCCCGGGAACTGCACCCAGGTATCCCACGTGGGTGGCAGGGACCCAGGTACTTGAGCCATCACCTGCTGCCTCCCAGGGCTCCCTCAGCAGGAAGCTGGATTGGAAGTGGATTAGGGCTCAAACCCAGACACTCCAATATGGAATGTGGGCTTCCCCAGTGCGGCTCCCCCAACTGGCGCCCTAACTGCCAGGCCAAGTGCTCTCCCTCCCTAGACACACTTAAACAGACCTAGCCCGCTGACACCCACCCACTGTGGCACTGAGGACAGATCTCGTGCAGTACCCACTGAGACCCAATCTCTGACCACTCGGGCTTCTCCGCCTCTTCTGATAGCGCAAGACACAGCTCTGGTCCTCTCAACAGACCCCAGCTCATTACTACCGTCATGGGCTTGAACAGCGAGAGAGACAAGAGGGAAGGTGTAGAGCGATGTGGACAGAGGCAGGCCGGGAGGTAGCAATACCGGCGAGAGAGAAATAGAGAAGCCGAGAGATAAAGGGGAAGGTGGGCACCCTGTGAGTGCAGAAGAGCTGACCAAGGGAGCAGGAGGAAAAGATGGAAGGAGGCAGAAAAAAAGATTTGCAGAGAAGCCGATGAAGTGCAACTGAGAAAACTGTTGCCATGGTGACGGGTCCAGACGAGGGAGTAGGAATATAAATCGGATTATGAGTTGGGGGTGTCTGGGGGGTGTTCAAGACCCAGAGGCAGTCTCCCTGCACTGGGCGCCCCCACCAGACCTCCCTCTGCCCGTCCCATGAGGGAGACCTTCCCCAGGGGCCTGGCCCAGGCCACGTGAGGAATGCAGTGAGCAAAGAGCATCAGAGGGGACCAGGGCTCTGGCTCTCTTAGGCCCCTGGGATCCATAACTGCACCCCAGCGTACCCACTGTCTCTTGGAGAGCTCTCTCCAGGGACCCTAGTTTCTCTCATTCTACTCCTCCATCAGAGAGCCACAGAAGAGGGTGGGGAGGGAACTTGTTTTAAGCACCTACTATGTGTCAGTTCTTTCTCTCCTCACCTCCGCTTAGGGGAGGTAGGCGCTCCCACCTGTTTATAGACAGGAAACAGATCAAGGTCACAGGCTGGAAGGTAGCAGGTGCTGGGGGTATATACCCGGGCCCAGGGCCCATCCCATTCTCCTCCCAGCTCTCTGCCAAGGGGCCCACTTCCCACTCCCGACTCTGCCTGCTCCCTTAGGGCAGGATTGGCAGCATGGAAGCTGCTCAGGGGCTGGCCTCGTAAAGAGCTGAGAAGATCTGAGGCCAGGCAGCCCGGCCAGGTGGGAGGCCAGGGCAGCATGAACTCCGGGATGGGGGAGCAGGGAGGAAGGGCTGGGGGTTGGGAGGCCCCAGGAGGGTAAGGGGAAGTTCCGAGGCCAGGCCATTTCCGGCAGAGCTGACAGCAACTCCCAGCCTGGGGCACGTGGGAGCAGCAGCCTTGAGCCAGGGAGGGAGAGTGGCAGGGGGGTTGGTATTTGCCTGCAGGTCCCTGCAAGTGGAAGTGGCGGGAGGCAGGGAAGAGGAGGGAGCAGCTCCCCTCCCTTCTCCTCCCTCAGGCTTCTGTACAAATAACAGTTTTGCAAAGGGCACTGGTATCTGATGTGCATACCAAGCAGGGCTTGGGGAGGTGGGGGAAGGCAGGCTGAGGGCTGTGGCCTGGGCAACTGTGCCCAGACTACCCCCGCCCCCGCCCCCGCCCCGGGGCAGACCTTTGGCCTGGTGACTGAGACACAAGTCCCCATGCCCACAGCATATATTAAAGCGCCTGGGTTCAGCTCCCAGCTCTGCTTCCTG